CCTTTCCAACCCTAACTGGTCTATGATTCTATAACCTCTCTTTTGTGTACTTGTCTCCCTTGAACCTTACGAATGTCTTGCACCGATAGGGTCCTTTGTATAGGAATTCGATAGTTGTGCTCCTTGTTGCATAAAGAACTGCCTCGTTTTTGTTTGCTTCTTGAACCTGGCTCCCACTAGCTTTGTCTGATGGCCTTCATGTCTCTTGGTGGTCAAGGCAGTTAAAAGTCGATTGCCATTACAGTTTTGTGGACTGCTGTGATACTTTCTTTCAACAGGTCTACAGTCTCCTTTTTCCAAGCTGGTTGCTGAGTTGCTGCCTATATAGAATCTGTTCTAACTTCTGATCCATGTCGTTGCTGTTCTCCAGCAACAGATCTTTTCTAGCTCTAGGAGCATTTTAGTTGGGGGACCAGGAAAGTTTGCAAGGTGTGAGTGAGCTATGATGATATGATGGACAGATAGAAGCTCTTCAGGACAGACAAGTAGGGATGACAAGGAAGGGTGTTGCCTTCTTTGAGAAGGAGAAGCTCAAATGTATATGGCATTTGTGTGGGACAAGATGACAGTTTAACATGAAAATTTGTGGGTTAGGAACAGAGGAGAAGCTGGTAAAGGTACCACCATGATTAGGCTGTTATGGACCACCCACGTCAGGATGAGGGTGTGGACAAAGCTTTCTTTAAAGGCAAGGAAGTATCTGGATCACAGTCTGTGCTTCCTATGGGGAACGTTGGTAAACATCCTGACACCTGCTGGAAGTCCAACACAGCAGGACACAGCAAAACAGATTTCTGGAGAATATCAGGGACAACTTCTTGATAGGAATACTGATGGGCCAACTAGGGGTGATAAACATCTGGGTCTGCCATTCCCTAAAATGGAAGAACTGGTTGGAGATGTAGTCATTTGGGTACTCTTGACTGCAGTGACCATGCAATAGTGGAGTTCAACATCCTGATGCAAGTGAGGAAGGAGTATTAAGATATAGACCCTAGACTTCAATAGAGAAGGCTTTAACTTCTTCAGGAAGTTGGTATTTGGGATTCTACAGGAGCCAGTTCTGAAGGGCAGAGGAGCTCAGGAAAACTGGCAGCATCCTCTAATTGCAGGAAGGATCCATTCTGCTCCTGAGGGAACTCATGGCCAAGCTCCAATACAAGCAAGCACTGTGCAGGATCTGGAAGCAGAGGTGGGCTTCTAAGGAGGAGTTTGGAGATGCTGCCCAGGCATGAAGCGATAGTGTTAGGAAAGTGAAAGCTAACCCAGAATTGATGCCTCGAGGGATGTCTAGGGTACAAGAAGTTTTGATGCTACACTAGTCATAAAAGGCTGAGCAAGGGGAACACAGTTCTGTTCCTGAATAGAGCAGGTGACAGCATGCTTTAAGAAGCTAAGTTACTCAGTGCCTTGCTTTGCCTCAGTCCTCACCGATGAGGTCTCCCAGACCACTGTGCTTAGTTGGCGGAGAGGCACTCTGAGTGTGGTTAAGGATTGAATCAGAGATTGCTTGAGGAAACTTCACCTGTGTAAGTCCAGAGGACCCACTGAGCTGCATCCAGTGGGTGGGGAGAACGGAGGAAAGTCTTAGCAAGGCCACTCTATCATTGGGAGGTTTCTGATTAACTGCAGATTGGCCAAAGTCGACCTGGGAAGCTATGGGATGCTCTGCATTAGCTAACTGTTGAGAAGATGGAGCCAGGCTTTTCACAGCAGTGCATATTAGGAGGATAAAAGGCAATGGGAGTAAGTTAAGAGAGATTCAGTCTGGATATAAGAAGCAGTTTTTTCCCCATGAGGACAAGCAGGCAGTGGAGGTTACCCGGGGCAGCTGTGAAGGCTCTTTTGAACCTTGAAGGCTTTTAAGACATGCCTGGAAAAAGCCCTGAGCAGCCTGACCTGATCTCACAGATGACCTGCTTTGAGCAGGAGGTTTGACAAGAGATTTCTATCATGTCTGGATCATTTGAATTGCCACGTAATTCTACAGTAATATTTTCTGTTTCATTCTGTCTTCCTTTCTTAAGTATTTTATTCCACTTTTAACTACTTCATGTATAGACTTATACTTTCATGGAACTCTGTCATAAATTCAAAGTTTTGAATAATAATAGTTTGGTGCGAATTGTTTTCTGTAAATTTTAGGCTTGCTTTCCACCATGTCTGTCACTACATGCTTATCTCTGTTGAATTTAGCTCTCTTACTACGTAGTCACTCAGCCCCATATGATCCTTCTGGCAGTTCCTATTTGCCAGCTCTTGTTTCTACTACGTTGGATACCTCTGTACTGAACAAACTTGGTCATCTTGCCACTTGGTCTCTTTTAGATCTCTTCTGAATTTTGCTTACCAGCACAAACTTTAGCACAGACTTCGTGAATTTGCAATAACCTTCCTTTAGACTGGAACAGATGGGTTACTCATTCCCTTTTTCTTTTTGATTGCCTATTTATCTGTACCTTCCATCTTTACCTCATCACTGTTTAGTTAAAAGCTTTTGTTCAATGTTTTCTTTACAAATTACTCTGAAATCCTAATAGATACATAAATTGGTTTGCTGTTCCCCATGTTCTTTTTGACTTCTTGGTGTTGGGTGGATTTTTTTTGTCGTTTTGTTTTGTTTGGGGTTTTTATTTGGTTGGGTTTGGGGTTTTTTTTTTTTTGGTTGGTTTTTGTTTTTTGGGGTTTTTTTTGTCTGTGTGGCTTTTGTTTATTTGTTTTTGTTTGGGTTTTTTTGTTTTCTTACAGACAGGATTTACTTACCTGCAGGTAATACTTAAGTGACGGTGTAGATAATGAAATGGAAAGACTTCTTAATTTGTTCTGCCACCTCCCTTCACACTGAACTCTTCATGTTCTTAGGCCTCTTTCCTTATAGCATCTAGTAATCTATCAGGTGTTTGAATTTTCTGTTTTCTGAGGTCTTTTGATGTTTTCCTTGATAATCTCTCCTCCTTACCTTATTCCTTAATGTGCATATCTCTTTTTTTCCAATAGCGGAAACACTGTCTTGGTCCTGATATAGGGAAACATTTTATTTCCATAAAGCTCTTTGTGGAGCTGATATGACTTGGTGTTTTACCTTCTCTGTTGTATAATTAGATTTTACATACCATAGTAGTCCCAAATCTCAAAATGACTGATTTTATGTGTATATGCATTTCTCTGAAACATCTACAGTTTCCTGTGTATAAGATAAATATTTTCAAGGAAACATGAATTTTAATTCACTAATAACAGAGAGAACAGAGGTTAGAGAATGTAAAAACCTACTCTAGACCTATGATCTCATGTTATTTATACCCAATGTGCAACTTTATACCTTGAAAACAGATTATGAAGACTGCTAGTTAGTTCTTATGGTCACCACCCATTTTATGTGAAAATCTGTGACACTTGGAATTGTGATGGTTTGATCTAAAAGATAGTTAAACTTCTGTATTTAGGCCTATAGAATGTAATTCAAGTAATCTATTGAAGGATTTATAACTTGGTTGAAAATTTAGGTTATTAATTTTGTCTACCAGCCAGGAAGACTTATGTTTCAAACAAGCATCCCAGGAAATTTAATGCATGTTAATTTAGAGCATTAGCTAATACCATATTTATTTATGCACAGGGCAGATTGACTCCTTGGGTTGCATTGACTATGTAGAAGTATTTTCAGGCTTTCTTTAGGAGACTTTTGAAACCTGACACATCACATAGGTCAACAATATCTAAATGTTACCTACTGTCAGTCACAATGATATATTGTGTAATATAATCTAAAACTAAATTGCAAAATAAGAAAAGTATTCTTCCTTCTATTTAAGGGGTGCTTGTTAAGGAAAAAAAAAAGCTTTTGTCATTTTGACAGTTTCATTATGCAATATATGTTGGTTTTGATAGCCGTCAATTAGCTGACTTAGTCAAATGCAGTCATCAGTGGTCTGGTGTATTGACACTGAGAGCATGAAATTACTTAAGATATGTTTGCAATGAGTGACAGCAAATGCTAACAGATTCAAACATTGCTAGAAATACTGCCTTTTAATCTGTATTTATTTGTGCATTAAGAAATACGTACATGTGGAAGTCTTCCTCTTTTGTAGGGGCAGAGGTGTTTCTTCAGATAGCTCCAAAACAAAGTTTTGCTTTCAACAGTTACATTCAGCATCATTAAAATGAACAGGTAATACTTTTTTCAGTGTAGCTTCTAAAAATCTGTCTTACTGTTGAAGGCTTCTGACTTAATAATAACTTGAATTTAAAACTAAGTCCCCAAGAAAATATGTCAACACAAAACTGCATTAAAAAATAAAGTTATACCACAAACTTATTTCATGTTGTGCATTTAAGCAAGAAGTTGGAAACTGTAACCATATAAGGGAATGTTGGCTGTTATTTTATGTCCTAGCAGACTTTTTTTTTCCTTGCTTTGAACATGTTGTAGAGGAGTGGTTGAATGGCATTTTTTAGTATGTGCCAAGACACCAGCATAAAGTGAATTCTTCTGGACACATATCATACTTATCTGGCTTCTGAATTGCAGTCATGTTCTGAGTTTGTTGCTATAAACAAGTAAATGTTCTCTGAGTGCAGGCTGGTAATACCATGGTGAGCTGTTTGTTTAAAATACTGACTTAACCCAAGTCTGCTAGAGATCCTGAGTTAGACTTTCTAGATCAAACAATATGAAAGCTGTTTTCCATCTTCTTCCATGTTACACCTCAGCTTTTTGGAAAACCAAAACATGACAGCTTAAAACTGCATTTTATACCTTGGTTTTAAGCTGTTTGGAATGCTGATTGATTGGCTGTTTATAAGTAAAAATGTCCTTTTTGAGATACTTTCCAAAGCTTTTAAGATCTGAGATTGAATCTCTCTGTGACTTCAAAAAAGCTGTCTATTTTCCTGACCACTAGCACTGTACATGTGGGGTTCTTCTGCTGAAGCTCGGCTGTGATGTGGTCTTATCTGTCTGTAGGAGCTCTGTTTTGGAGACGGAGAGAGAAAAAACTCCTCTTCCTGTACTTTTACAATGAAGTTTGGACAGGAACCTGCTCAAGTCCCAGCTTTGAAGCTGTTTTTCTCTCTCCCCTTCCCTCTCCCTTACATGCAGTTTTCTAAAGAATGCAAGGATTTTCAGGAAGGCTTTTGACTGTGCTGAATTCTCAGTGCATGGAAAGAAGTAGTATCAGTAATTTGTTTTGGGTCACCGCCTCATTTTCTTAAGTTTGTTTTTTTTGGGTTTTTTTTCCCTCTAAAAGGTAGAACACAAAAAGGGCTACATGTGCTTAAGATAAAATACATCTTAAATTCCCTGTAGTCTTGTAACAGTAATTTTTTCTACATTGATTAAAATGTGTTTAAACTAATTTGCATGTATATATAGCAGTCAGTTTCCTTTTAGTTCAAGCATTACAGGAAGAATTATTATTGTATTTATGCTTGCTGACTTTACTGCTGTGCAGTGCATGCATAGGCTCAGATATAGGCCTGATGACCACGTTTAATGCCTGTCATTTGTTTGTATTCTGAAAACAGGATTTACCACTTACGCAAATAAGACATGCACAAGTGGATTAAGAGGCAGCCCCAGTGTGAGTTACAGGGAGGTGCTGGTTGGAAAGGAGAATAGTGCTGAGCAGAGCGGCCACTGCAGTGGCAATGAACAGCCACCTCATGGACTTAATTGTGAGAAAAGCAGGTTCAAAGATATGAAACAAAAGGTAAAATTGTAAAATAGATCAATAAATAAAAACAGTGGGGAAGGCCTTAAAGAGGAGGGAGAATTGGTTCTTCTCCAAAGTGTTATAGAATCCAAAAGACTTGGAAGTTGGAGAGAAGTGGACCTGCCTGCCACTGAAATTGCTTATGTTTTTGCAGTACGGATCTTTGGACATTAATACTCAGTCTGAGGAGTGCAGGAGTGTTAAGTCACAAATAAGCCTAAGTGCAGTATTTAGGAGTACTTTTCTTTTGAACCCTTAGCACTTCAAATATTGACAACAAGTAAATTTAAAGTTCTTAATGTTACTGGAAAGAACGTACGGTAATGCATGCTAATGGGAGCATACACTGCATAGAATTCTGCATTTTCTTTGATTTAGATTACTGGTATGAACAAAAGGTTAACCCTAATATGGCTGATCTACCTCACTAAGCCTAGTTCCAGATATAGTAAACCACCAAAATTGTTTCTAAAATGAAGTGAGAACATAAATCTATTTCTTTCATGTCGACAGAGGCAAACTATTACTAATAATATACTTAATGACATAGGCAGAACTCTATTTTTGCTTTTTATATTTAGAACAATAACAACATATTCATTCTTTAAAATTGCTCTCTGCTTGCTACACAAAATGAAGGTAGATACAGCCTCACTTGGTGGCTTTAAAAGCTGAATAAATATAAAACCGGAAATGCAGATGGCCCCAGATGACTAAATGAGGCAAATGCTATATGTTAATGCATATAGGATCTTTTAACTTACACAAGATCGTGTTTTAGCTAAATACCAGTACCTGAAGCAATTGATGTAAGAGCTCTGAAGGACTGCATACTTTTCTTTCCCCCTGCTGAAGAGTTGCTTTTCAAGCTGTACTACGATATTTTTAGTTCTTGGTTACTAGCCAAATTAAGTCCTTCCTAAACTGTATTTGCTAAAGTCAAGTTAGTCTTTGCATTTTTCTTCTGGTAAATCTCAAGCCTTAGCACTAATTTGGGCAAATTCCTAGCCAGTATTTCCTGCTAGCCAGTATTTCCGTCTGACATATAGGTATCATTATACACACTCCTACACTTGTCATGCTATCCTTACCTGTTATTAATCTGCTTCACTTTGGTACAAGGGAGCCTACAAAGTGGCCTGTCACAAGAACAGAAATTGCACAGCTTTCCTTGGAGCTGTTCTAAGAGAAACCCGAACGATGACCACATTTCACAATACGCTGGTGGTGGTCCAGATGTGTGCCAGTAGGCATGTCCTGTGTCCTGTTTCATTTGCTACACTTCATTAGTAACTGTGATGAATTTGTTTTGTTTTTTAAGATTACTTACTTTTCTTACTTGCCTTAGGAGAGGTTTGTTTTCTGCAGCCATTACAGCACTGGTCAAATGTGTTCATTCTGCTTAAGCATCCGAGGTGATTTTCTGCCAAATGAGAACTTTTTTGGCATCTTGTGGACTGGTTTAGAATTAGTAGTCTGAAAACTCTGCAAGTATTGTTGATGACAGTAACTTTACTATTTTAGGACTCTGCTAGTGGCTTTTAATGATCCATGTTGCATGCCAAGCTTTTATGGATTTAATATGCTGACTAATTTATATTCTTGCTGTGTTAATGCAGTTCTTGAATGTTAAGAATTAATCCCTTACTCGGGCAACCTATATTCTGCCAAGGTCCTTATGTTTGATAATCCTAGACATTAAGGGGGTGAAAGGGATAAGCAGGGTGTTTTAGGTGGAACCAAGCATGCATATATTCTGAAACTGTGTTTGGACGCATATATTTGGATGTATAGTGTGGGTGGACATTACTCAGAAAAGTGCCTGGGTTTAGTATCTTACTAAAGACTAGTTACTGTAGTTTTGAAGCTACAACTTAGTCTTGAAGCTACAACTCTACCTAATTCTCCCTAATATGATAGAAAATCTGTCTACATCATCACCACCTGTAGCAGGGGAAAGCCACAGTTTATCTGTTGTCATTCAGCAGTTAGTTTGAATGCCCCAAACTGACACCGGCTTTTTGTCGTCGTTGTTTATACTCATTTTCTTTTGTCATCTTATTCTGCCCCCAAACTGACAAAATAAGGGGTAGGTATTCTAAAAATCTGTCGATTTTCATGGCAATTTCAATTGATATGACTTAACTTAGCCTTAGTTTGGTCAAGTTTCTGGATGACAGCTTTGTAAATAGGTTTAAACACACTGGAAAAATGCACCCACCTTTTAGAGAATTTTTCTTGCATGCTTCAGTTTTGTATACTTTATACTGGTAAATTTTAAGCCTACTTGACCAAGGCCAGTAGATAGGAAGTATCTGCCTTTTAGATCCAGCCTGTTTTATTGCACTGGGACTCCTGAAACCTTTCTTAGCTGAAGCCAAGTGGTAAGTTCTGCCCCATGCAGTGTGTTTGGAAGGCCAGCGCTTTGGCCTGGAGCTAGTGGGTGGTACTTGGGTCAGGGATATCTCTGCTGCTTCTCTCTTGGTGGCTGCAGAACAGCCTCTGCTCTATGGTGTTGCCTACCCTGGGTGTAGGAAGTTCAGTCAACAGATGGCTCAGCAAACGAGGAATTGTTTTGCCCAGCCCCTTCCAGAAGTACTGGTGTAGTTGGCCATGGGAGCCCTGCGTTGCAATGCAGGGCTTAGGTGAGCTCATTTATATCCCCTTACCTCAGGAAGAATGGTAGGTTTGTCCTTGAGGTACTTCAGGCACAAAAATTGGTTGCTCTCAGGCACACGTTGTATATTTGTTTACACTTACACTGGTACTGTTCTGTTAGCATTAGTGGTATTGGCAGTAGATTAACTGTAAACTGTGCCTCAGGGCAGCTACACACAAAATAAGCTGTTCTGGAGAAAAGTTTATAGCGTAAGAATGTAAGAAATATATTGCATAAGAAATTTTGAATACAGCAAAGCCGAAGCAGAAAAGAGCATATCGGGCAATCCTCTTAATTATTCTCTGCAGCTTGCAGAAATAGGTTCGTTCAGCTCAGTGAAGCATGGAGTTACATGTTCAGGGCTTAGAGTTCTGGATTAAAGAAACAGTTTTTGTGAAAACTTGTGAATTGAATGCCAGGCAAAACTTGTCAACTTTAGTACAGTTTTCTGTACTTGATTAGTGTATGTGTATTGTGAAATTGACCAGCTCAGCTGCTTGGCACTTTGATGGCACTTGGATTAGTGATGGAGAGAAGTTGGTCTTTGGACATTATGTTTTAGCAGCTGGTTTATTTTGTACGTAAGACATTGCTATGTTTTGCTTGATGAAGAGCCCACCAGTGGAATGCTGTTACATCATGAGATATAACTTCAATTAATATCAACTGCTAGAACGACAGTTGAATTAAATATTAACATTTTCTATGCTTTGAGTAAGTAAACAAAGGACTCTGTTTTAATCTCCCTTCTGCAAGGACAGATAAAAGGGGAACCAGCATCTTAAACAGCAAAACAGAAAAAAAATAAAAGCTTGACTACTCAGTTATCTCTGTTGATTTGTCAGAGTCAGAAAGGTCTGGTTTTGGTTGGTGTTATTTATTTATTTATTTCTAATTATTTAAAATCTAAAAATGTTAGAGAAGATGGCTTCAGTGTTTCCGTTTTGCTGGAGATGCTGTATACTGTATGGTGTGAGAAGAGGTTAAACTCGGTACAGACTCTTTCACAGGAGAGTCGGGAGCATTGCAACTTTTCACAGACTCATCTGTTTTTTTCTTTCAACATGCTCTAAATTATTAGAGTAACTGCAGTGCCTCAACACAATTTGAGTTTCATTGCGGGGTTAAAATCCTATTAAACCTGCTGTGGTCTGTTACTTAAGTCTTTACCTGTGTAGAACAAGTTGTGGGATCCAAAGGCTGGGGTAGGCAAGCTCTGCCTTTCCAAAATAAATAGCTAATATGTGATCAAGGGGAAAAAAAAAGGTTAATTATGTATTGTAAAAGCAAAAGGTATGAACAGGAGGAGAAATCTTTTCTGTGCTTCTCTCATGAGCATGTTTAGAATACTTCAGACCTTTTCTGCGGCCCTTTCTTCATCAAAATGCTAGTCTGTGGTAATGAAGTGAACATCAGTTGAAGTGCTTTTTGTCTGTACAGAAAAGCAATGATGCAGTTACACAAGTGCTGAGGACTTCAGTTCTCAGCCATTGCTTTGGAGTTTTATTTTTGCAACCCAGAGTTGTCTTGTTATGTACTCTCTTGTCTCCAGGCTCTGTGTTACACTGTGGGTTTTTTTGTGAGTGTCAGACACCCGTTTTCATGTCTTATTGACCATAAAATGAGAATATTATCAGTTCCTTACCTGAAAAGATGTATAACCCAGTTTCCTTACTCTAATATACATCATTTAGGTCCTATAATAATGGGGGAGTGGACAAAATGCTGTTAAGTACAGATAATTGCAAGTGGATTTAAACTGCGTATGCAGAGATGTACTTTCTCTGCACTGAGGTGGTAGATGATAGAGGGGGCTACAAGAGGAATTTTACATGGTTAAGCAGGCTTCAATTTCAAATTGAAAACTGACAGTTATACGAGTAATACAATTTTTGTTGTAAAAAGTAATTTACCTATCATCTAAAATTATTGTTCCATCTGTGGGATAAGTGTAAATGAGTTTTCTTGATTATGCTGTTTTCTTGGTGCAAATACATTTAGCAAAGTGAAGTGAAATGATCTAGCTTCTGAAATGAAACCTTAGCATTGCATATTTTTTAACATCTCATTTATTTCACTACACACATTTGGAAGAACTTTATATTGTTTGTAGAAGTGCTTAAAATTTTAAACTTCCTATTTCTTTTTTTTTTTCAGTCATTATTTAACCTACTGGAGTTTCGAAGACTAGTTTTGAATTTCAATCCTCCTGCAAACGCTCAAGACTTGCCCCGAAACCAAAAGGTAAAATTAGAAATTAACTTCTTCTGGAGGCTGATAAGGTCATTTCTCTCTTGTAATTGAATTTTGCACCGTTCTCTGTCTCAAATTAGCAAGGATTTTATAGGTGCCAATTAACATTTCTCTGAGCTTCCCATTATGGATCTTGCATAAATTACGTTGGCCTCACAGTACAGTACGGGGCAGGGTGTTGAGAGAGGCAGAGTTTGCTCAGAGTACTGCTACTTAACCAGGTTCAGTGGAAGGGCTTTGCTGGTACAGCTGTAGCAGCACTGCCTTCAGTGCATGAGCCTTTCTCATGCTAACGTAGCTTGTGTTATCAACCATATTTTATTCCAGTTCCCTCACTCTGTGCAGCTACAGGCATGCTTTTTGGTTATCCACATGGTTTTGATCTCTGTAGCTTTGCCAGCAGCATTGTTAGTGTTGGCCTGGTGACTTCATTGTTTATTTTGGGGATGCTAATTACTTGTAACTCATGATCTGAGATTAAGCTTTTGGTTGTTACCTTGTCTCTTCTGGCCTTTTCATGAGGTGGTTGTAAGCATAAGTTTATCCATGTTTATTCTAGTACTCATATGGGATTGGGGAGGGCTCATGTTTCTTGTGACCACAGACTGGTGAGAGGGAATGGTCATGGTCTGAGGGACGAAACAAACCAATTTTTCTTCCTTTATGTATGCCCTTTGAGGAGAGATAGATGGGGTCGCTTTGGTTTCTATGTTATGAAATAGAAAGGGATTGGAAGAGGAAGTAGCTGTTTAAAGGATGAAGGGTTTTGATGACCTGACTTTTAGCAGGGGCTTACAGAGCAGTGAATTTTTTGCATATCCAGAAATTAGGTTATTGCCTTTTGCTTCTTTCTTTCGGATTTTAAAAAGAGAGTGTTGGCTTGTTCTTAGTTTTTTGGCACTTGAGGCTTGACTGGAATGTTCACTAGCAAAAGAGAGCAATTAACAAAAGCAAAAGAAAACATACATAGAGGAGACAGTGTCCATTTTCTAAACTTCTAGGTATGTACTGTAAAAGGGAAGTTGAATGTTCAGTTTGAGCTGTGTAATGTCTCTCCTGCTGCCCCTTCTCCCAAAGAATTGTACTGAAATTTTTTGTTTATTTTTATATTAACTTTCTGCCTGGTATTTCATTATTCATCGTATAATTTGTTTTAGTAATATCCTCCATTACTCAGAGTTATGTACATTCATTTTTTCAGGGTGTAAAAAGCAGTTGATATGAAATAAATAATAACAAGCTGTTGTCTCTGAAAAACATCTTGCTCAGTCATTGATACTTTCAGTCTTTAGCAGTTCCACAGTCTGTGTCTTAGACATTCTGACCATGGCAGACAGTATTAAAGCTATGTGAAAAGGTGTGACACCAGGAAAGTGTATGGATTTGCACAATAATCTTGCTTTCTGCAAGCCTGATAGTAAATTTTTCTGGCAGTATTTTTTATTCACTTAAATTCCACAATGAAATAACCTTATTTGATGTACTCCTCTGTTTTACCTGCAGCTGAAGAAGTATTGTCTTAGTGTTGAAATATGTTTTGGGGAGAATTTAGGAAAAGAACTTGGACAAATGGAAGAAATAAGCATGCATACCCCCAAATATGGTGCTTTTATTTCTTTATAAGGTGAAGTCAAGTAGAGGCAAATTGGTTTAGAGTTCTAGTATAAGCTACTGGTTGGCAAAAAAAAAAAAAAAAGCCATGGAAATGACTTCTTTGTGCTTACTTGCTTTAAAACTATCTTGACTTAGTTTTGGTTTGGTTTTTATTTTTAATCTAGTATTAAGTACAGTATGTGACTGTCATTCCCTAGGATCGCATTTCCTTGCTAAAAAAGAACAAGTTTTAATAATCTCAGATTTTCAAGACTTTGGTTTACATCCTGCTATCTTTCCAGTTGGTGGAAAGGAGAGCTTAATGGTAGGGTCATGACAATCTCTTGATTTAGAATGAAAGCATGTGGTTGTACTTCAGGGAATATTGCAGAGTGAAGTGTTTTTTTCTTCCCTATTAAAATATTGAATCCAAATGCTATTAATAATTCAGCAGCTAAAATTTTAATCCAAAAGTCATTAGTATAATTTTTGAATTTAAAATGCCCCAAACCAAACAACAACCCCACCCTATTTGCCTCAGTTAATTGGAATTTGTTTTTCTGGATTTTAAACTTGGTCATACATCTGGTCTGTTTTTTATACTTTTTCATTTAAAATTGTTTTTTCTTCCATGGTATGTTCCTCAGCTTCCTTCTGTAGAACAAATATGGTTCTCTGAGGTTACCGCAGCTTCTTTGCTCTGCCAGTTCTCTTACTGTCATACCGAACAGGTCTTTTTTGTTGTATGCAGTGAGGCCAGCTAAATATTTAGCCTCCATGATGTCTTCAGGAAACATGTTATTATCAGAGGAAGTGAATACTGTACTAGAGCTTAGCGCATTCTGCCTGTTTACACAGCGTCATTATGCCAGTGTCCTGGCATACTGATTGATAAATAATGAATGTTTGCTGTGTATTAAACGTGTAGATTGTTTAGAGGCATTTCTAATCATAAGTTGTTCCAACATAAGAAATTATTAAAAAACTGTTTATGAAGGCAGGATAGGTGATAAAATAGACAATGTTTTAGATTATGAACTTCCCATACAGTTTTTATTTCAAAACTGATTTTAATTTTTTTTTTTATTGTATTTTGTAGGTGTTGGTGCACCTACAGTATGCTTTAAAATTGAGCCATGTGCTGTGTGTGCTCGTATCATCTTATTAGTTCTCTAGTTTTAATGTGCAAGTCCTTCGTGGAACTGTATATAGCTTGTCTTGGGAACTGGCTAACATCCTTTTGAAGATTTTAGGCTTTGTTTCATCAGATTCGCTGTTTGTTGTGGTAATGCTCACATAATCTGGTCAAGGATCATGCCTAATGCATGAAACAGAGCTTTTTAAAAATAAAAACAAAAACCAAGGATTTTTCTAGTTTTAGAGAACTTTTATAGGCTTTACAGAGATATTTGTTCTGAGTAATCCTACTGACATCCATAGCTAGTTGTTCAATGTAAAGCTACAAGTATGCTTAAAACTCAGCCAAATTAGTAGTGTAAATTTGGATAAGTAGTGTAATACTACTCACTGCTGACCTACTTCAGATGGTGAGGAAGCAAAAGGAAGGTGAGGTGTAGAGTGTTCCGTGTTCAGTCCTCTATATTATGCATATGAATCATCACTGGTATTCAGTCATCTTGATCAAATATATCTGTATCTAAAACTTGAAAATCTATTGATTTTTAATAGATAACTGTATGAAAATACTAAGAAAAAAATAACTTAATTTGTTTTCCTGTTTTGTTGTTATAAAGTGCTTTAAATATGTACATGGAAGATGGGTTTTATTCTTAAATTATGATGATTTAAAGCTAAATTAGGATGGCATTTGATGAAGTCTTCAGCCTTTTCTGTGGATATTGTTGGTAATCGGGTGGTGTTTTGCAAGGTGGACTAGATGAAACTTGGGAGTTTACGTGACTAGAAGTATTTTTTTAGGTATTATGCAGAACATGTTCCAATTCACCACGCACAGGTTTTAAAGCTGAAACAAACCAGACTTCATGCACGAAAAGCCTTACGCATACTTATTGACAGGAGTGACTAAACGAGTCTGCTGTTTGAGCATATGAAATGTTTTGTCATGAAGTAATTCTGGTTTGACCAGCATCTGACATCTGTGCTGCCTTTGAATGATACTTTCATTCAGAGTGTCTGTATTTAGAACTACTATTCTGAATACAAATGGATATTACATGGGTTTTAATTTCGTGTTTGTCATCTACTTAGGAATATGAGTGATATCTGATCTCCATAGCTTTTGTAACCTGTGGTTTAATCAATGGAACAATGGTTTTGTGTTTCAGTTTACTTACTTTTCATTATACAGGCAGAAAGTAGTTCTTCTGCTTCATTCCTAGAAACCAGAAAAAGAATTCCATATTGCCCGTGAACTATACTTAAAAAGTTAGATAGAAAGGAGAGCAGGCTGTATCTCTTACTTCTGTCAAGAGAAATAATAATGATTTGTGTACACATTACAGATTTAGTCTTCGCTATAAAATAAAAGGTAACAGGCAGTGTGTAGGTTCACAAGAAATTCTCCTAGAGGTACAGGAATACTAATTTCATTAAAAGGAATGCCTGTTGCTGCAGTGTATTGCTTAAGGCATTGTAAGTCTTGGGAGCAACAGTTATATCTTAAATCCAGCTCAGCTTGTCCACTTGTTCATTTGGCCCTATTTCAACTCGAACAGCCACATCTAGATGTGATTTCAGGGAACTTTCAGTTCTAAAATGCAGTTTTCTTCCCAGAGAACTACATTATTTTACAAAACTGACAAGTAAAAGGCACACAACACTACCTTGGTAGTACTACAAGTGAGCATATATATTATGATGATGATTGGCTGGATATGCCCTTAGTTCACAGGGTAACCCTTCTGTAAAGTAGATTTTGTTAACACTTTGTTAAATATTTTTAATTCTTTTTCAAATACAGGAACATAGGAATCTGCCTTTCATGCGTGAATTAAGGTACCTGTTTGCACTTCTAGTTGGTTCAAAGAGAAAATATGTTGACCCATCAAGAGCGGTAAAACCTTAAAGATGCTTTTAAATCAAATGATTCCCAACAGGTAATTTCTAGGTATTTTTATTCAAGTTTATGCATATTTTCATGTGGTTATCTGGCAATAGGAAATACTTAAAATGCACAACACAAATTCAAAATGTCCGCAGAAAAGAAACTTCTAATTACCAGTCTTTGAGCTTTTCCTCTAATAGTATGTGATCTCTGGTCACTTTTATTAAAAAAATCAAATCAAATCTGGACTGTGTGACTATTTTATGCAGTACACTTTCTTGCTATTATTTTAGAAACTAACCAGTAGTTCCACATTCTTGCTTTTGGGGTTTAGTTTTTAAGTCTGTGGGTTTCAAAAGAGCTTTATTCTTCTGCTCTAACAGTGCTTCCAGGGCTGGTAGAGTCCTATTTGTCTCTGTAGATACTAGTTTGGAGGATCCTAATACTCACATTCAGGATTCTTGCCTAAATGATAGTGGGTATATTTTGGTTTTCTGAGAAACACTTGGTTTCTTCAGTTTTTTCCACATGAGGTTGTGTGGTGAAGGTATTTAATTAGAACAGCATGCTGAGCTTAGTGCTTGATGAAAGTAGTATTAGTCACCACTTGTTAGATACCAAAGGGTTTGAACAATGGGATTCATAAGATGCCTTTGGACTAGCATGGTATGAAAGCTGAGCCCGAGTAGTAAGGATCACAGGACAGCATAATGGCTGAGGAACATCAGAGCCTTAGTTGTGCTTTAAGAGCCACCCATAAAAAACCCACATTCTTGGCATAGTCTTGGATATAGTGTGATTTTGGAGCTGTTGTAAGGGGAATAAAGCTATTACTGACCTTGTAAGGTGACTTGTATTCTATTACATATGTGAACATATACTGATCACTTTATATTTTCTCAACAGCAAGATGTTAGTGAATTCACACACAAATTATTAGATTGGCTAGAAGATGCCTTCCAAATTAAAGCTGAAGAAGAGAGGTAAGTTCTTTAGTTTGTTTATTTGTTTGTTTGTTTTTTTAAAACTAGTTCTATATATTGAATATTTTAATGAGAAGAAGCAGGCCAAACAACCAAAAATCCACTTCTTGCTACATGGCAGAAAAAGATCCAACACTGTAGCTTGTTATGGTTCAATATACCTTTGATTTTCTATGAATTATTTATTTTCATCATCTTGTTTCATCTTGGAAACCTTGCTGAATGAAGCCCAAAGTCTATAAAGATTAGAGATATATTTTGTGCGTAATCCATTAGGCATTTTTTTTTTTATTTGAAAGCAGCTTTTCTTTTCAATCCTGTAGCTTAAATACTTTGAAACCTTACTCCTGTTTCTCTTCTCAGAGGTAAATACTCATTGCTTGTGTGTCTGTAAACTGTCTTTTGAATATAGCACTGTTTCTAGAGTGTCACAGGAAATAATTTTTACAAGGATTTTGTACAATTTAACCACTCAGGAATTGAACCTGATTTACATATTTTTTCCTAGAATGAAGCACTTCTGAAAATTATCATTGCAAATATGTGAATCATTATTATTGTCATTAAAGTACAAAACTAAATGAAGAGTATATGAGTAAAATATCATTTTCATAATGGATTCAGAATATTCTGCTCATAGTTTTATGAAAGTTCAAGAGCTTTGTGTTTGGTTTCTTGCACTAACATGCTTTCTGTTTTCAGGGATGGAGAGAAATCAAAGAACCCGATGGTGGAGTTGTTTTATGGACGATTTCTGGCAGTAGGTGTACTTGAAGGTATGCATCTGAACTTACCTGGACTTCTGTGCTTGTGTCTGCTCAGTGCTTATTTAAGTACACAGTTGTACTTTTTTGTAGCATTTTAGCTACTTCTGCAGAGGTGTACTTGGAGACTTACATGTTCAGTCTGTGACCAAAGGTTTGTCACAGACTGTCATGAGATTGAGACTGAAGTTAAATGTGAGCTGCAGTGATCCAGAAAGACTGTTTCAATAACCTTCAGGAGCTGAGCACATGTATTTAAGTGCAGGAGAAGTTGAGGTGAGATGCTGAGAAAAAATGCTTGCAAGAAATTGTCATCAGGGCACCTTTTGCCACTTGTACAGAAGGGAAGTTACTGTATTTCTCTGTTTCCAGGGGCCAGCAGTTGTGAAAGTATTTTAATGTTGGTGATTCTGTGCCCCATCCCGAGAGTGAATGACTCCTGAAATGCATTTGAATGAAGCAGCTATAATCTTTAAAGTAGATTTGGGGTTGTTTCTCTATCTGGAACAGTGTATCTAATGATTTGCTGTCAGACAACAATTCTGCAAATTTCTTGCTACTAGCTAGCATTCCT